CTTAGGCCAAGGTAATAATACTGAATGATTATTATTATTATTATTATTATTATTATTATTATTATTATTATTATTATTATTATTATTATTATTATTATTATTATTATTATTATTATTATTTAACATTAATTACATTACAAGGAAAGTTTGGCCAAGTTCAATAACGCCGGAATGGTATATTTTATTTATTATTATTTAATAATATTTCTCTTATGCACTCTATTTTTTATTTCATGCTTCAATTTTTTCCCCTTTTTTTTTTTCCAAAATTTCAATCAACGTCATGTGAAGCGTGACTGTGACCCTAGGCCTAGTTTAGGGAGGGCCTGTTTTAGGCCTGTTATCTTCTTTCTGTCATCCTTTGGTGTACCTATCTACACTTTGGTACTAGCTGTTGTTGTTGTAGATATTATACTAACATTTAAAAACATACAAGAAGGTCACAGTTAGTTACACACGTACATCCCAAAATCCATAAGATTCCATAGGCCTACCGTAGGTAAACATAGAAAGAGCAATAAAAGTAAAACTCGAGCGTCACGACATTGCGAAATGTCTGCTATTGTTCTTCGTATCGAACTCGAGTCGGGTCAATCCGAGATGGCCCGAGTGAAGTTTCATGCAAATGTTTCGTACGGGAAAAAAAATCGCGACCGGTAACCAACGTCTGTTTGACAACAAAGGGCGCCACCTAGTGTTGTGACGACACGACTGTTGTACTCCATAGACAGTACGTGCACTGGAATTATAATTTCTGTATGTGCAATTTGTAGGACAATGATTGGTGATGCCATTAGAACATCTATATTAGGGAGTGACAGTGGTGGTGCCATGGGGTGGGGGTTGCAGGGGAAATCCCCGTGGGATAGGCCTGGACCCCGTCGTCGACGTCACGACGAGATTATTAATTTGCCTTTTTCAACGTTATTTTGATTGTTAATCCCTAAAAATTGTAGTCTAAACACACAATTTTGGGCCATAGGCCTGTCTTAAAAAATTTCCCATGAATATCCTACCAGGGATTTTTTTTTTTTTTATATCCGACACCCTTACCGGCGAGGTTCTAGTTTACCCCATGGCTCGATCGCCCTCTCCCACCCCCTCCCCTGTCAGTATGATCCCTATCAGCAAATTTCTAGGGCCACAACTGGGAGTTAGGCTATCATTGGCGGATCCAGAAACCGGGCGAAATTAAAGATTGATTTTCACAGGAGGGTCTCAGACCAAACCATGGTGGGCTGAGGTTAGGAAATTTATGATTACGGAACCTCTAGGTGGCCGGAAACGGCATTCGCAGGCAAATATTTGAATATAGTTTTCTTTTTTCCCAATCTTTTCATTTGAAAAAATTCAGTGGGGAGGGGGTGGGCGGGGTGTGCCCTGATTCCTCTTCTGTATATAATAATTAACTGATGGAATAAAACGGCAGTGAATGAAATGACAACAATATGCCACATAATGTAGGCTACAATTCATATCAACCCTGAAGGCGTGGTCGAAAGTGAAGGATAACCGGGGAAGTGTAGACCTATTAAAGTGCCACTAAGGGGATACAGGGAAGCTCAAAGCACTTCATCTTAGTTGTGATTATCAAATATGCATAAGACCCAACATTGTAATTCCCGCCCGACGTGGTCACCTTTCCGAGTCTTTTATTTTGTAGGCGGCCTACACGATTGCTTATAATTGGACTAAACCAATTTACAAATGAAAAAAAAATAGAAAATATAGGATAGGCAGAGTAATACTAATACTGTTATTATAAAGTCACTATCCCCGACAAGAACAGTCAATAGTTGCATAATGGTTGACTGTCTATAAAATCTAGTGCATCGGGTGCATGTGGGAACCACTGTTCCCTAATAAAAACTAAATACAGTAATACAAAAGCACAGAAACAATTGACAGCCATTATTAGACCTACACTGCAAACAATTAACAGACTCCCAATAGAATGGAAGTTTCAATAGCGCATCGTATTTTGAAGACGTTTCCAGCGGCCCGATTGCAATCAGTGGCCCATGTGTCCTCGTTAAAGAATGCAGTTCAGGGGGTCTTGGTGTACTGCCCAACTCACCACCAGACTTCACTAGAAATAAGTCTTCGGCAGTGG